GATTACTTGTAATATTGAGACCCATTACTTCTATAATCAGTAACAAAGTAATTTTATTTTGGTGGGAAAATTAGGTGTACAGCATAGAATAACAATATGCATTTATAAAACCACTAAATTTTACTTTTTCAGGGAGAAATATTTTAAAAGGCAGTATAGAAAAGTGATTTCATAACACCTGGAGTAAAATCCTGGTTTCACCATTTACTATCGGTGTGACCTTGAGCAGTTCAATAATCCCCTTCAATGTCCTCATCTTATAGTGGGGAATATGTAATGTTCCAACAAATCCACTGATCTGCAGAACTGCCTAAAATTTATTTACTTATTTATCAATATAAACACATATTACTTACTATATATGGATATATATTATATTAAATATATTTCATAACATCAAATTTTATTAGAAAATTAAATATGTAGTAGCAGAGAGTTCAATGTATGTCAAGAGCCCGACCCTACTGAGGCTTCATAATAGTAACTGTTACTGAGGTCAATAATAATTTAAAAATCTAAGAAAAATAAAACACTATCAGAAAAAAATTAGTTTCTCAAAGAATATAAAAAGCAGTGAAAGACAAAGCTCATTCTACATCATCTGCAGCAATTTCCTATCTATGAATGTAAAGGCAATACAAATTAACTCCAGCCATAAAATACAAACTAAACTTATTTAAATCTCTTGATTGTAACTAATGGACTTTAATAAAGAAGTTTTACACAAGACATATATTTTGAACTTTATAAAATTTCTGGCTGGACCTGGCCAGGGTGGCTCAGTGGCTGAGTGTTGACCTATGAACCAGGAGGTCACGGTTCAATGCCTGGGGTGCGGGGTTGCGGGCTCAATCCCCAGGAGGGAGCATGCAGGAGGCAGCCAATCAATGATTCTCTCATCATTGATGTTTCTATCTCTCCCTTCCTCTCTGAAATCAATAAAAATATTTTAAAAATTACTTAAAATTCTGGGCTGGGAGTCTATCTTAATACTAATATTTTAAAATTACCCCAAATACAACCCTTATAATACATAAAATCACAATACAATAGACAAGTCTAATCATACTATGAATCAGTGAACTTTTATAACAAAGCCAAACAACCCAGATCAGAAGAATCTGATTCAAGTGAAAAGTTTACCAACCTAATTTATCATATAGTCTAGGACAGTGATGGCGAACCTATGACACGCGTGTCAGAGGTGACAGGCAAATTCATTTTTTTGGTTGATTTTTCTTTGTTAAATGGCATTTAAATATATAAAATAAATATCAAAAATATAAGTCTTTGTTTTACTATGGTTGCAAATATCAAAAAATTTCTATATGTGACACAGCACCAGAGTTAAGTTAGGGTTTTTCAAAATGCTCAAAAGATTCGCCATCACTGGTCTGGGACATAGATCCATATTTTAAAGACCTGCTAACTTAGGAAGAAATTAATCAACCATTAACAGTAAATCATTGTGCCAATTTTTCCTACTACATTAGAATTAGAATATGCACACTGTTCAGTTTGGTTTTGTCAAAGGAAATTAATTTAAACACCTTTTATAATATTAAAAACACAGATACAATACAGGAACTAAATTCAGGTTAGTATATACAACCGTGTTGGGATTACAACTGTACAAAGGCTGATTTTATAACATACCCCAAAGCTTCTGTATCCAATTAAGTCTTACTCCAACTTTCCTGAATGCAGTCATTACAGAGACCTATTCCAATGTCATTTTTGCTGAACACTTTAGAAGCTTGGAGCACATTTTTTGTCAAATATGCTTAATTGTAGCAAATTTTAAATTCTCTGAGAACAGCTATGATTTATGAGAAGAGACAACTGTTATTGAGAACTACTTCTGGCAAAACAGACCAAGCTAAATAAGCTTCTGGTTTATTTTTTTAAAAAAGGAGGGAATTGACTATAAAGATGTTCAATAAGGTTAGTTTTCTTAAAAACTATACAGGCAAATTTAAAATGGGAATTCCAAGCTTTTGAGCAGCAACAGTATCTAGGTAATAAGAGTATATTCCTATACAATGTTCTCTACTATGTTAGTTCTCTGTAATCTCCGAACAGTCCTGTACTTAGCACATCTACACAAATTTCTTCTTAGTAGCTTAACTGTGGTTCTGATGTTTTTTACTAGCTGTTCATGAGTTTTGAATGTTACAGTACTATTATCAAACCATTAGCCATTCCTTTAGCTTCAACATACCCAATGACTACTATCACAATTAAGGAAGGTCCAGAAGAAAGAATATTCAAAATGATCAACTTCAATTTGGAAGGTTATTATTAAAACTTACTTAGACACTACTACATTATGTGTGTATGGGATCTTCCTTTTTTAAGTTTAATAAAGCTATATATCTACTCTCACATTAGTCTACCTCCAGTTCAGACACATTATAGAAAACTAAATTACAGGAAAGCACCACATTTATACCATATACAAGGATAAAAGAAAAATATAAGACATAAATCATCAATAGCATAAAATAAAATTTTGCCAAAAAACTACTTTTTCATTACACAACTACAGAGTCCTAAGGGGCAAGACCATACAATTTATACACTTTCCCACACAAGAAACTAACACAGGCACTTTGAGAATGTTACAGTATAATTACAAAATGACACAGGTTAATATTTAAGGAGAAATCAAGCCTTTCAAAATAAAATAAATATTTATAAAATTCAGTTTCTGTTATGTTAAACATTAAAGAAAGGTCTTGGAACTTAAAAGGAAATGTAAAAACAAAGATGACCTAGTTAAAAGAATTCCTGATACGTTTTATTCTTTCAGGGGACCTTTTACCTAATAAATGATAAAGACTGTGGTTTGTGGTTTTAGTTTTCTTCCCAGTTCCAGAAATTGACTGATTCCTTTTGTAGTATTTACTTTTCTCTTCCCATCTGACCCCCAAACCTGCTTTGGATGTCTTTTGTAAAATTTTTCAAGACAGGGAGTGAATTCAGTTCATGAACTGTTGAATAAAGAGTTAAAATGACAGTATCATACAACTATCCTGACTCTCTTTAAAGTAATATTAGTCTTCTAGAATACCGATCTAATTCTTAGAAGCAGAAAACACAGGAAGCTCAGTGTTCCAAGAAAAATTAATAGTAACTGATTCATCCTGGCTACCCAGGAAATACACAGCAAGGATCTTGTTCTATGTAAATACTGACAACAAATCTGTCTAGTAATGCCTACCACCCAAGGACAGGAAAACAGAAAAAGAGCTCATGGAACAAATGCACAATGACTAAAAAGTACAGAAAGAAAACATAAATTTGGAGATGAGAAGAAATCAGAGCTAGATGAAACACATGACAGATCAGTGAGCTACTGAGATAGAAGTAGACTGAGGTGGTGGAAGAGAAGAGATCACCATTGACAGGAGATGAGAGTGGAATGTAGGTGGACAGGAAGCAAAGTGGACAGAGGTGAGGGTTAAGACAGGAAGAAGCTAGAAATGACAGGAGTTGAATTACAAAAGACAACAACAAAAGCAGGGAGGTAGCAGACCAGGAAGGAGGCAAGCCCAGGGAAATAGAGAGTAGTAAAGAGAATAGAAAGTATTTTCAATGGGAGGCTGAATCATGGAAAAGGCAAGAAGTAGGCAAAATGCAAAAATACCAAACAAATTATGAACAGACAAGAAAAAATGTAAGCAGAAAAGAGTAGAAAGAATTGAAGGGATGAAGTAAAACAGGCGTACTGAGGGAAAACATATTTTTTTTTAAATTGTTTCTGAAATTTCACTTTATTAAATTTTAAAATCTGTTCTTTTGCTTATATTTCTTTGTTGGGTAAAGCTTGATACATAAGAATAAAGGTTTCCTCAACTTACAGAGAAGAAAATGTTTTATGTGGTCAACTGACTTAACTGCAAAAAGTAAAAAGAGCTGAAAAATATAAAAATTATCTTAGCTCTAATCAACAAACTAATTTTCATACCAATACATTAATGACCAAAATGCTACATTTGTTAATCACAAAAGCTTTCTCTGTCTCTCTGACTCTGTGCTTATTAGTCAGCATTTGGAGAGATCCCCACTATACAGGAAGTTTGATGGACGTTTAAAACAAGGTTAAAACTATAACGGTTAAGATATGCTATAAATTTTCACTACCCATTTATCCTAGGTAACTGAAAACAGAACACAGATGAACTGAAAACAGTTCATCCTTCATTTCCACTTAGAAACAGTAAAGAAAACAAACATTAAACAAGAACATAAAAATAGTAAAGAACAACAACTCTGAAAAAGAATGGCAATTGCTCTATTCTTGACCCTTGAAAATAACCTAGGGGAAAGAGCAACCATACCAAAGGTTTATTTGTGAAGATATAATTCTTATTTTTACTCTGAAAAAACAAGTCAACAGATCTGAAGTCCAAAAAATTGTGCAAAATAAAAGGAGGCACACACAGAGGCTGAGAATAGATAAAGATGAATCTAAAGTCGGAAAGACTGAGACAGAAGCACATCATATAAAGAAGCAATTCATCAACATCCTGCACTTTTAGTAATTATTCAGTGAAAGTCAATTTCTAGAGGCCAACATCCCAATAAATTGCTCCTATTTCTCCTATTATATCTACTAGTTCTCTATCCACACAGAATAAAACTCTGATCTTAAGTAGGTTCCTAACTATAGCAGTCGAGGAAAATAACTCAAATATTATATGCAAAAGCAGATGCGTTAACAAAGATAATATAAGAAACATGTAAAGAAATATGCTAGCGTCTTGTCACTTATATTTTCAGAACTATCTTCTTTTGGCTGCTCAAAAATCCTAAATGACATGGGGGGTCACTTCTTGAAATCTGCCATGTCTTCAGCTTTTTACCATTCTTCCATGAATATCTTAATGAGTCTCTTGGCCATATAGTCCATTCACAGGCATCTGATATCATTATTTACTTTTAGAAATAGTTGCTGCTCCACAGGAGTTAGCAGACATCTTCAAGAAGAAACAAACCTGGTTCTTTGGTCTCTATTGGGGACATGCTGAAACTAGGATTCTCTCTCATACTCAAAGAGAACATGGGAGTCGAATTATGCTGTTTCCAACGTAAGATGCCTTAAAAAAAAAAAAGTTAAAAGTCAACCACATTTTAAAACACAAAACTAAAAAAAGCAGTGCAAATTCTCACACATTTCTGGCTTACATTTTAGCTAAGATGGAAAATTAAGTAATTCAAATAAAAAATTTAATCTCTCACTTCAACTTTAAATATACTGTATTTTCCCCAAAATTTAACAGGGCATCACAGGGTATACAATAAAAATACTTCAAATAATTGAAAGTTCCTAAAATTAACTTAAAAATCAATTGAAATTGTAGAGAAATTCTGGTGATTGATATTTGAATTTTACCATGGCCAGGATAGAAGATGGGCTTTGAGAAAACACTATTTCTCTACATTCATATCTTACTTGGAAATGTTATGAACAAGCCTGGGTTATACAGAGCTGTAAAATGGGCTACTAAACTGATGACCTAGAAAATTTCTCCCAGACATGAAATTACATAGTATCTGGTGATAACATTTGGTACTACCAAACCAGCTATAGGCAAGTCATCTGACTTTGCCCTGATTTTCTTATCTATAAAATACAGGGCTGGTTCTTCTTACAAGGGCAGGTGGTTTAAAATACAGGTGCTTAAGCCATGCTCCTGGGGTTAGGCTAAAACATGATACTTTTACAATAAAGCCTGGGTCATTCTGACGTATACTCCTACATAGAGAACCACCACCCTAGATCATGTTCAGGATCCAGTTCTACAACCCTAACATCCATAAAATGGGGGTACACATTTCATTAAATTATCCAGCTTGATAGGTTTAAAATATGAATCAGTGAATCCCCTTCCTTTCCCTAAAACCCCCCCATTTAGAGAAGAGCCTGCAATTAAGACTCATATGCCAATTGGATAAAAATTTAAATACAGATTTTAAACCAAATTTTCCGAATTATTTTCTCAGGGACTTAAAGAGAACAGGACTGTGGGACAATATTCATAGTTATAAGTTGTTTCTATGACAGGCCATCCCAAAACATGTGCTGATGTTAAAATGACAGCAGCATACATCATTTCTTCACTGACTCAACGTCATGACCTCCTACCCAGCAGGAGTGATCTGTAACACAGAATACTATACCTGCAGAGCGTGTGTCCTCCCTGGCTGCTAACCAGGGTTGTGGCCCATGCTTCTTCATTCAAGGGCACTTGCTCCTCTGATTCCTCAGCTCTGGGTCGGGTGATGTATGTATTCCCCTACCTGTGCAGTCATTTAGAGCCAGTGACTCTGTTGATGCCCAACACCCCCAAAATAATATTGTCAGCTCCCGACAACGGGATACAAAACTGGGCTTTCAGAGAACACAATTTTTCTTCATCTTGCTGGATTTTGTTTGTGGGCTCTCATCTAATTCCACGTGGCTTCAAAATGACTTCACTCCAGGTTTGTTACCAAATCAACAGCATTAATTTTATGGTGGTTTTTTTTCCCACCAAAGAAATATAACTTGGTTTGAAGAGGCTTCTTGGCCCCAATAATGTACTCTATTGCCCAAGACAAGCTGAAAAAATGGATCAAGATTTCACACAACAAAGCAAATGGACAGACATGCACAGGAAACCATCAATAACACTCACATTCTGGTAAATTACTACTGCTAGCGTGTAAATCTAGTAAGTGTTTTAAAGAGAAAAACAGTAAGATAGCAAGTGTCTTTAATATTACTTTATTTCACATTAGTTTTCTGACACTAAATAAAGGTCACTGTTCTATGTCCTGATGAATTACTGTTTCAGAATTCCATACCTAAAGAGTTACATTTAATCCTCACTCAGTTCTGAGATTCAAAATTTAGTTTCTCATTTCAAAATACAGTGTCCTCTTAAACCACTTCATTATCAACCTCTGCTCTCTGGAAAATGCAGCATTATTTCTGCAGCTCAGAGTCACGGCAATCTTTTATGCTACCTTGAACTTTTACAGCTGAGAAGGTAGTGTCAACTTTTAGATGTCTCTTCTGTCTTTGGTAAAGTAAAACTCCGAAGAGAAACCACACCAACTCAGAGCTAGACTGCCTGGTTTCATATCCCGTCTCCCTACTTACTACTTGCGTTGTGATATTTGGCAAGTGACCTAATTACCTTTCTGTGCCTCCATTTCCTCATTTGAAAAATGGGATTATAATGAACCTATTTCAAAGAATTGTTGTGAGAGTTAAATAAATTAACATGTAAAGGTGCCTAGGGCAGCATCTGGCACATTTAAAACCCTACATAAATGTTAGCTATTACTTTGTTTTATTTAGCTCCAAATTATCATGCTGTTTCACGTACACAATGTATCATGCTGTACACAATGTTTGCCCAACTAAACTACTACCAACTAAAATAAACAGCTAATATTCAAAGGCTCATCATGGTCTGTGGACTCTGTGGAGAGGGTAAGACGGGTATGTTCCTGCCCCTAATGGTGAGTGGGACCTTCACTAGCGGAAAGAAAAGATTTCAATATATTTTTGTTCATTTCACAAATATTTACTCAGCACCTTCCACATGCTAGGCTCTGTTCTAGGCTCTGGGCATATGGCAATGAGTGACACAGAGAAGGTCCTTGCACTCTGGAAGCTTAAAGGGCACTCCATGTGAGAGCCAAGTTTTGAAAAAAGGAATCAGAAGGACTTGTCTTCCAATCTGATGAAACACAACATTGCTTAAATGCCTTATAAGCAGGAGCCAATGCTGGCATTATGGGTCACTCCAGCTTTCTAACAATGACAGAACATACAGAAATGGCTGCAAAGAAAAGTTCAATAACTTTCCATGTAATGTACTCTAAGTATCTTCCATTGAAGCACATTAAAGGGATAGTCTCCATATTTCTGGTATATAAATAACATATAACACATATACTCAATCATATTTGAAAGGTTTTCATAATAAGAAGCTGTGAAGGCCCAGCTCCTAAATTTTGTCCAAATATATCCTATTTGCTGTATACCCTTGTGCTTTGTCTCCCCCCCCCCCTTTCCCCTTCTTTACTTTATCTCCAAGTGGCTGCATACAAATATCAAGTAACTATGAGGAAAGTGCCTGAAGATGCATGTGGTGGCAAGAGTCAGTTAGACACAATGGAGCATTAACTCCAAAACAAAACACATGCATCTTTTTCGTCTTACATCCTCCCATTGATGACAACTCTCCACTCATCCCTTCCCCAAACAGAATGCCTTTAGTTAAAGGAACCCTCTTATAAACACTAACTGGCAAAGCATTCTCAATCTTTTCCTCGCCAATGATGGCCCACCAGAATCAGAAGATAGGTAAAGTCCAATATGCTCTAATCACAAATATGACACATTTTCAAATACTTCCCTTATCCTTTCCAGTCTTTTCAACTACTGCTACTCTCACAAGATACAAACTGTTAGGTCCCACCATCATTCTCATCATTGTTATCTATGTATATAAAAGCCTACATGACCGTTATGACCGGTCCACCACTCGACCGGTCGACCAGTCACTATGATGAGCATTGACCACCGGGGGTTAGATGCTCAATGCAGGAGCTGCCCCCTGCTGGTCAGTGCGCTCCCACAGCCAACCTCCCGCGGTCCCTCCCCCCGAGCCGGATGCCCCGATCGGGATTGGGCAAGACGGTCTCCACCCGTGCATGAATTCGTGCACCGGGCCTCTAGTGTCTATATAAATCATTAGATTGTATCTGTGGAAACACAATCAAAATAAACTTCTTGCTTAAGGAAGTCAAAACTGCTTAATTAAATCCAACCAAAAACTTAATGCACAAAGTACTGGACTCAACACTGAATATGTTTAAGATATTTCATGGCAATCTGAAATATTAGGGAGAACCCCTGCAATGTAGATAATATAACATTCTTAACACTCATATACCCATGAATGTTAGACTTATTAACAAAGCAATAACCAGCCCACTGTTTTTCATTTCCTTGGTTTGGTATTGGAAAATTACTCTTCCCGTCTCATTGTCATTTGTTCATCCTTAATTAGGAATGTCACTTAGAAACTAAATATGGAAAGAAGCCTTTCGGAAAGGGCCATTACTTTCCCAATGTTTACTTTTTTCCAATGTCCGGGTGACAATGTGACAATGATACATAATGGGAATTTGGATAAATAATGAGATACAGGGTTTTGGAAACTACTGAATACTCAAATAAATGGACTAATTGCAGTTCTATACAATTTTAAAGCCATCTTCCACCTTGAAAAGCACATTAATTTACTCTAGGAGTCATTTTATATTGCCAACACCCTCATTTTACCAAAGCGGAAACAGTAGTAACCAATGTATATATTCCACATTTGGGCACATTCAAATCAAATTCATGTATTCAAATACTTTTGAGCAACCTATGCTTACGCAAAAGTTATCCTGGCAGACTAAATGTGATAAAACATGTAGACCATTTGGCACAGGCCTGGCAAACAATCATTACTCAACATTGCTCATTAATAGTTTCTAATTTTCCAACTTTTTAGTAACCTACATGGTTGTAAAATTATATGATTATGCATATATATAACATGTATAAGCTAACATGCATTAATACTATAAATAAAGCCAGTACGTTAGTGTAAAGCAACGCTATTTATCTAGAGACAAAGTTTAACAGTAGCAAAATGATCCACAAAGCAGCAGAGAACACTTCCTAAGGGGTAGTGTTAAATATTAGCTCTTATCTCTGTTTATCAACTAAGAATACAACCTCTAGCATGAATTATAATTAGCAGTCAGGTGATCCTAGAGAACTAGCTCAAAATGAATAGTTAAGACCTCAGTGCGTGGACAAGTGACCATTTATTTGCAAGGCTGCTGCACCAACCACTGAAGTCTGCTAACTTCCAAACACTGGAATCCTACAGAAATGCATTGCCTGCCTCAGGCTAGAAAATATACTTTTCAAGTCCCTACAACACACATTTTTAAGAATATCTACAGTGTCACTATCACAGCATCCAGCTTTTCATAGCACTTCAACAGTCTCGGCCACACCTCATTTATGACAATCGGGAAAATGGAAAGATAGTTTGGAGAGCACAGGCTTTCTTATTAAATATTTAGGTAAATATTAAAAGTAACCCTACGCCCTCATTAGGGAAAAGAAAACCTGTGTTTCCCAGCCTCGTCTCGATCCGTGGCACAAAGCACATTCCCCCTCCCACGCCGCGAGTCACACCCGGGGCGCGCCGAGGAGGGGCGGGGAGAGGCAGGGCGCTCCGGGGTAGCGACCTGGCACCGCTCCTTCCCGCCGGCTCTAGCACGCAACCGCTAGGCTAG